GGGGCCAGCAGCACAGCGGCTGGCCCAGCCTCCCCTGGGCAGGAGGGATGATGCTTACGCGTCCCTGGGGAAAGGAAAAGCCAGTTAAACGTCTTTACAGAAAAAACGAGCTCCAAGAGGAAGAGCAGGCTCCCTGCAACACCTCAGCCGAAGCAGCTGGGGGCAGTCGGCGCCCCCTCCCAGTACCGAAGGATTCGGGTTCAAAGGGGCGTTTAGCACGGAGGGAGCACTCGGAGGCTCCAAACCCCGCAAAATCACCAGGGACTCGGTCGGCATCAGCGATTAACCCAGCACGGGGAGGCGGGTGTCAGAGGGAGCCGCCCCCCACCCCACACACAGCAGCAGTCCCCGGGGACCACCCGCCCCTCCCCACACGCCGCACCCAGGCGGGGAGGGCAGCACCCGCAGAGCAGCACCAGCCCCCGGCGCCGGCTGCTGATAAAGGAGGAGATGCGGTGTGGGAATGAAGTGCAGGTGCTTGGGGGAGCAGGTGGCACCAGTGCACCCACCACCCCTTCGTCACCACGCCCTGCTCAGGAGGACCCGCAGCAAACAATTAAGCCTGAAGGCAGGAGCAGCTCGGCTTGAGTAAAAGTTGTCATAAAATCATGGAATTTCAGGTAGAAAGGGACCTCAAGTTTCGTCTGGTCTAACTTTTCTTGGCAAAAGCACCACCTAGACAAGACAACCCTTGGCTGGAGATGAGGATGCCAGCTCTGTGAGCAGGACACACAGAGACACAGGGCTCAGTGTTCCCTGGGACAGCTCTCTCTCACCCCCTGCCCGGTGCTTGCCTGTGGTTTGGGAAGTTATTAATGAGTGAGCAAAAACGTCATAGTTCTCTTTGTTTAGCTATTTCATCCTTGCTGGTTATTAACAGCACAACTCGCCCCAGGAGGATCCTAGCAGGAGAAACCCCCAGCACCCTGGTCCCTGGGGCTGCAGCCAGCTCCTCGGGAAGGGCACATGGAAGAAGTGTCCTTGGTTTTCACACAGATTCAAAGGCGTCACAGAGTTTCAGAGGTTTATTTCACACAGAAAGTGTGGGGAGACAAAACAGGACAAAAACTTTACAGTCACAACTGTACAACCAAGATTATCCCCAAAGTCACTCCGTGGCAGCACGGCGTGGGCACAGCCACGAACGCGAGTGTGCACTGAGGAGGCACCACAACGTCTCAGGGCTGGACTGGGTCTGTTGCCGCCTCCCACCACCATAAAGAGCTTTAAAGCAAGAGCTTAACGTCCCTGCCCTCACCCCACTGCCCCACGTACCCAGGCCAGCGTGTAGGGGCCTTGGGATAAAAACCACCCTCTTACAATGTTCCCCCCGCCTGACCCTGCTGCTGCTCCTCCAGCTCCATCCAACCCTGTCTCCGAACTTCACTGGAAACAGGCACATCTCCGAGAGGGAGAAACAGGAGGAGATTTGACAAGGGCATAATTCACATTCTTTTGCCCAATCCCCATGTTCAGAGCTCCCCTTGCTCCCCTGTGCTTTTCCTTTGCTAAAGGTATCGCCGTGGCTCCCGGGATTGCACCCAGCCCTGGGGACACAGTGGCTGGGGCAGGAATGGAGATCCCAGAAAGAGCTCGTCCCTGAGGAGGTTTTTCTTCCCTTCCGGGCGGGCTGTCAGAGACCCAGATGAGGCTGGGACAGTGGGATCCTCAGTCCCTTGAGAGAGCATTGCCACCACGTTCCCCTTCCAGCCATGCCAGGAGTCACCCCCGGGTGAGGGCTCGTCCCCCGTCCCCACAGCCAGCGCTGGCACATCGTTCCCAAGGCTGTGCTGCCTCTCACCGAGCAGCTCAGGAGTTTTTTCCCAGCTGGCTCCCGCTCTCCAGTACCAACAGCACAGAGGAGCCGGCTCCTCAGTCCCCTCTGTGACCACAAGCATTCCCGAGGCAGAGCCCCTCTTCTCTCCGGGTCGGGTCCTTCCAGCGCCGTCACACCCAGCACTGCTCCTCCGACCCCTTGGCAACACCCGGCCCTGCAAGAAGGAGGGTGGGAGGTGATGCAGCATCGTCCACCAGGCTCAAACCTCACAGCTGC